ATTCCCTCTCTCCATCTCATGGACTTAGCATTCTCTCTCCCTCTCATGGACTTGGCATTCTCTCTCCCTCTCATGGACTTAGCATTCCCTCTCTCTCTGATGGACTTAGCATTCTCTCTCCCTCTCATGGACTTAGCATTCTCTCTCCCTCTCAAGGACTTAGCATTCCCTCTCCCTCTCATGGACTTAGCATTCTCTCTCCCTCTCATGGACTTAGCATTCCCTCTCCCTCTCATGGACTTAGCATTCTCTCTCCCTCTCATGGACTTAGCATTCTCCCTCCCTCTTTCTCTATCTCTTATTTTTTGAGATAGGGTCTTACCATGGAGCTCCAACTACACTTGAATTCACTATGTAGCCCAAGCTGACCTTGAACTTGTAGTGATCCTTCTGCCTCAGCCTCACAAGAGATGGGATGACAGGCATGACCCAGCATACCCAGCATACTTCACTCCATCTTTGATGGAGTATCTTGTCATTTATGCTACAGGATGCTGAACAGAGAGGTACTGTAATTCTCACCTGGTGATTTTCCTTGAAAGTCTGGATTAGTATCTCTCTCAGTTTTCTTTTTCTTTCTTTTGCAACTTTTTCCTCACTCAGATGAATGTGAGCACTTTCCATCATTTTTTCTTCTGGATTCCTCTGGGAATCTTCTTGCCTTTTTTTCTCCCTATTAGTAACAATTTTTAAAATAGTCATTAAAGTTAATAATGAGTAATTACAGTCTACTATATTAGAATGAATGAACACTGAACATTCCAGAGTAAGGTGACTTAAAAAAATCTTAGTTTGTTAGTCTGTAATATGTAAACAAAATAAAATTATGAAGTACTTTGACAACAGCACAGTAGATGCTTCAACGGAGCATTTCTGTTACATTACTACCGAGCTATATACACTGATCAAAGTCTGTCAATACCTATGAAGTACTCTGTAATGCAGATGTAAGCTTTCTTTTTCCTTCTAAAAAATTGTGTGTGTGTGTGTGTGTGTGTGTGTGTGTGTGTGTGAGAGAGAGAGAGAGAGAGAGAGAGAGAGAGAGAGAGAGAGAGAGAGAACAATGCTGTAGGAGTTGGTTCTCTTCCACTTTGTTTTGAGGCAGGGTCTCTCTTGTTTCTTATTCAGGGTGTCTTTCCTGTCTTTGGTCCCCATCTTGCTGTAGGAATGCTGGGATTAGAAATATCCATTATGAGTCTTTTCTCTCAAATACTAGAAAAACTTTTTTTTAGGACAGGGTATTAATGTCTTTTTATCTCCCCCCACCTTGTAAGACTTTTATGCAAATGTTTTGATCCTCCCTATCCAGTAAAGCTTTTGTGTAAAGATTTTAAACAAAGGTTTTACTGGATGGGAATAAGATGTGAAGCAGGACTCCAGCCAATGGGGAAGAGACACAGCCACCACCTGAGTTAGAATAAAATCCAAATGTACTTCCTGTCCAGTGTGTCCACTCTTCTAAGCAGACCTTCTTTCTTGACCAAGACTAAGAGTTTGTCTTTCCCAGACACTTCAGTTGGAGTGCTGGTCTTTCTACAGGATCCAGAACAACTCCCAACAGCACCCAACTTTTCTGTTGGTTCTGGGGCTTGAACTCAGGTTGTCAGGCTTGTGAAATGTATTTCCCCCCAGAGCCATCTTCTCAGCCCCTAGCTCTTCTTATTAGAGGGTTAAATGGATCCTTAAGTAAAAAAGGAATGAGATTCCTATCATGGGCTTTTATAGGTTTTCCAGAAAGAAACATTAATAGGATAAAAAATTACTAAGGAGAGAACAGAATCTAGAGACTCTTCCCAGCCTCCATCTCCTCTCCTCCTGTGGGCCATCCTCCTCCCTTACCAACTCAAGTGTGCTTGCTTGGAGAAGATTCCCCACACCACGCCCCCCCCCCCTTTTTTTTGAGACTGTCTCATATAGCCCAGGCTGTCCTCGAACTCCTGATCCTCCTGCCTCCACTTCCAAATGGGGAGTGACAGGCACATGCCATCACTTTTATGCAGAGCTGGGGATCAGACCCAGAGCTTTGTGCATGTTAGGCAAGCATTCTACCAACTGAGCTACCCCCGGCTCCTAATAATGTCTTTTTATTGGAGTTAATTACAGATGTATACACATAAACCATGTACTATTAATGAAGTAGAGCAAATGGTGAGGAATCCCAGATTAGCTATGAAAACTCAAGCAATCACCTAGACTTACAGGAACTTTACAGTTGCAGAAATTCAAGTTGAGAAGAATCCAAAATACAGAAAAAAGTCATTCATTTTCAAGTATCATATGGGGGCACATAATATTATGACTCACTGCTGATACTTGCCTGATTCACTGATTATCTAAGGTTGATTATCTAGTATAAGTCTACTTGTTATTTTCAAAATTCATTTTATTTATGTATCTGTGTTAGTTTATGCCACATGCATGCAGGCGCCCTCAAAGACTCAAGGAAGGCACCAGGTCCTCTGGAACCAGAGTTATAGTGGTTATGAAACACTCTAATGTGGTACTGGGAACTGAACTCCGGTCTTCTGGAAGACCAAGAAGTACACTAAACTGCTGACCCATCTCTCTATCACCAAAGCTATTGTTTTTTCCCTTTTGTAACTGATAAATCTCTTTAAGGAAATATTTTATGTAGTAAAGCAGATTCAGGATACAAATAAGAAAAATACCTATCAACAAATAAACCTTACTGGATCTTCCCCAAATACTAGTTCTGTAATAATATTATACTGGATGGGTCTAGTCATGTCTTGCGGGGGGGGGGGGGACATTAAATAAATACAGTTCTAGAACTTGGGATGGCATGGCAGATTCCAAATGCAAGGCCTTTGGTGAGATGCAAGTACCACAAGTCAATAAATAAACACATAACAGAGTTCCAGAACAGGGGTCTGAGTTCTAAAATAACACCAGGATATCTAGCCATCATGGAGATAGTATCTGCTTAATTGTGAAAACTGGAGAGGCAGAAGAGCCATTCATATTTCCACACAGAAATAAACAATAACATGCCAATCTGCTCGACTGTACAGCCATTATCTAATACTTTTGTAGCATTTGTTGTTTATTCCTGTAAATAATGCTATTTTAGTTATTACTGTAAAAAAATCTTTGCATTACTGATCAGTTCTTAGGGCAATTTTCCTAGACCTAGAATTCCCAGGTCAAAGGAAAATACCACTCGATGACTCTTTATTTATTGCCAATTTGCTGTCTGGAAAGTTCACTGTAACCACGGGTAAGACTTAACTTTGATAGGAAATGACTGGCCAGTGGACATGTGTTGAGTGCCCACTGTGAACTGAACAGAGAATCCTGCTACCATCAAATGTGACTTGTTTTCACAATTTATTTTAGGTCAGCCTATTTTTTCAAGACTTGGGAGCAATCTGAAGAACAGAGTTGACCTTAGTGAGAACTCACTAAAACACTGGTGATTGCTTTCTGCAAAGAGCAGCATTTGGAAGAGGCCTGAGCCCGGCACTTGAGCGAGTGGAGCACATGTCCACTGCTGAGCTGTTTGAAATTGGGCAGAATGAGAGCAATCAAGAACACAGGGGGACACTGTGTGGGCTGATGGGGGTGGACTGATTACCTAATGTGTCTTTCTGGCTCTCTGTCTGAGCATTCAGACACTTGAGTCACGTTGCTGGAAGATTTTTGCAGTTCATGCATCAGTGCTATTTCTCAGAATAAATACATTAGTTATTTCACCTGTGAAGCTCATTTTCTGCATGAGGACAGATAACATACTACATCCTGTGAGGGCTATTGTCATTTTCCTCTTATGTCAGATAGTCTTCTTCTCTATCAGTAAGGCAAGACTTGCTGTATGATCATCAGAAAATAAGACCCTAGTGCAATTCACAGTAGGACAGGGGGCAATTACTAACCCCACAAAAGGAATAAGGAAATATGTTCCACCTTTAAAAGTCTTATGCAACCAAATAAATATAAACCAGCTACTGTGATGCCTATTAAACATGAAAAAAAAATACTGAAAATGTTACTTCCCAATACAGAGAAGAGTGTGGTAAACTGGTCCACAGCTGGAGACACTGTAAACAAGTACAACTGATTTTCAAAGTCATCTGGCAATGCTTCAAGAGTCACAAAAAGATCTGTACCATTTAACCCACTAATTACACTCACAAGAATTTATCCTAAAAATACAATACAAGCTGGGCAGTGGTGGTGCACACCTTTAATCCCAGCACTTGGGAGATAGAGGCAGGTGAATCTCTGTAAGTTCGAGGCCAGCCTGGTCTACAAAGCAAGTTCTAGGGCAGTCAAAGCTATGCTGAGAAACCATGTCTTGAAAAAACAAAACATATATATATATAATTCAAAGATGTCCATTGCATTATTATATTAGTAAATTTTTTAAATGATTTATTTTATTTTTAATTATGTGTATGTGAGTCTATGTGTGGGTTTATATGTGTGTGACTGCAGTGGTTGTGGAGGCCAGAAGTGGGCATCAGATTCCCTGGTATCGATGTTAAGAAGTGGTTGTGAGCCACCTAAGGTAGGTTCTGGAAGGTGAACTCAGGTCCTCCATAAAAACATTAGGTACTTTTCACCACTGAGCCATATCTCTAGCCCTATTGGCAAAATATTTTAAATAGCCAAAGTGCTTAGCAATATGCAACAAGACCATCATATGTTATGGTGCAGAAATGCAGTGAGATAATAGATACATTTCAGGACTCCAGGCATGTTTGGTACAGCAGAATAACAAATTACATGTACTTGATGGTTGTAATTAAGCATGTTAGGGGATCACGACCAGGAGAAAACATGGAGAAATAAAAGTAATTTGTTACGATTGTGTTCTCTTCTTTTGTGTTTAGTGTTTGCAATGTTAGAACATTTTTAACACTCGAGAGTATTTCTGATAGGTTTGCTTAAGCAGACATCCTCCACCCTGCCCATCCCGCCGGCTCACGTTTTCCATGCTTCTTCCACGGTACGCCTTCTCTCCAGGATCTCCCTCCGCAGCTTGACCATCTCTCTCTGAATCCCTTCCTTCTCTTTCTTGGCCAGCAGAGCCTTTCTTCTCTTCTCCTCTTGCACTAGACACTGAGCCTCCAAGAAGGCTGCTTTCTTCAGGGCATTCTCCTTTCTCTGGAACTCTACTTGTTGCTCACGTCTTAAGCGATTTTCTTTTACCTTAGAAAAACCAAAACCACAAGTAGAATGGATAGGCAAACACTTAGGACACATTTGGAAGTTCAGAACACAACCAGTTTGAAACATTCCCACCCAGAACCCCATTATTTATTGGAAAATAAAGCAGTTCATTTGCTTTTTTTTTTTAAGATTTATTTATTTATTTATTCATTATGTACACAGCATTTGGACTGTATGTATACCTGAATGCCAGAAGAGGGCCCCAGATCTCATTATAGATGGCTGTGAGCACCATGTGGTTGCTGGGAATTGAACACTCAGGTCTTCTGGAAGAGCAGCCAGTGCTCTTAACCTCTGAGCCATCCTCCAGCCTCTCATTCGCTTCTTGGGCGAAAACCAATACAAAGCTCTACAAACCGTTAGATGAAGAGGACTCTCAGCATCTGGGAGGACCTGTGTGATGGAAAAGCTGAGTGCAAGGAAGGGGTCAGAGTCCAAGCTTTGGATTCCTATTGAGAAATGATCTCCCATTCTCAAGCTTGTCCTGTGTATATAGAAGACTACTTTCCTCTGGGCTCTGTACTTTAACAATCATTTAGGAAAACACAGTGATACATTATGGTGACTACACTCTGCAGGATCAAACAAAATCCACTGCCTTAAAGAACACTAAGAGGCTCTCCTCATTTCTATCTTTATTTAAGTATGCCAGGAATTGTGGTCACATTTGGAAATTAAAAGCAAGACCTTTGTGGATAATTCTAAATAAGCACATTCATCCTCTTCAAAACTAAGTCTTCAGCTCCTGGCTCCCCTCTTAACTTTACCCCTTTTCACCCTCCAGTTGTGGCTAAGACTTGTAGGCAACAGGCATATGTCTTACTGAAACTTCTCTCCTTCCATCAAACTAGAATCCTACTTCTCCCCATTTGTCCAACATTCCCATACTTTAATGGTTTAAAACAGTGAATTTTCAAAATGTGTAATTAGAAACCTAATGTTGTAATAAAACAGAACATACATATGTAGATATTAGAGCCAATTCAGTCTTAGTCTTGGTCATATGGCAAAGGCATGGTCATTCTGAGTTTCCAAAACTCCTTTGCAAGACACAGAGATTGCCTTTTCCTCTATTACCTACTATTCCTTTTGGAGGAAGGAAAGTTCCCATATGCCTTTCCAATTCAAAACAGCTGAACTAGATTTAATTCAGATCTGTCCTCCTTTTCAAATTATAATCACAAAATGAGTGAATTTAGTTGTCTAGAAAAGAATTATCCTTATAATATCCAGCAGAATATTCATGATAATATATTAATGTCACCATTCAAAGACCAAATTGGAGCAAATGCAATCTACATATTTATAATCGGAAGTGCCACATTCACACTAATAAAGTTTAGTTCAGTACTCAACTGGTCAAAATCAATTACTCTAATTTTGGTTATTTCTTAAATAAATTGTTTCCTACTCTCAGTTTATGAGAATTATTTTTCTTCTGAAGTTCTTATATTTTATTTTTATTCTTCCTTACCAAACCACAGATGGCACCCTTTTCATAATAAAGCCTAAGTCTTTATTTAAGCTTATTAAATGTGTTACACAAAGACTGCTTCCTGTTATCCATTTTAATTTTGTTTTCCCTCCCACCTGCTTATGTCTCATCTCCATGGTAAGACGAGGGTCCTTCTGCTGCCTCTTGCCTTGGTTTTCCTTCCTTCCAAGCTCTTCCACCATCGCAGCATCCACCACCTCTTTATGGAGCAGATGCTCTATAAATTTCTGAGCGGTGGCATTCTCCTCTTCTTCCTCCAAATAGCCACATAAATCTGGAAGTAAAAAACAACAAAAGAGGAATTAAAAAATAATATTTGTGTTTACATAAGGATTCTGAAAAACATAAAGCTGAGATGGTTTGATAAGCAGGAACTAATAATGCCAGTTGGATGAGTGTGACCCTCAAGAATCACCTTCAGATAAAAGGGCAAAGCTCCATTCATCAGGAATTGCCCTCACCCAAGTCACTAAGAACCTCTTCACAGCCAGATCTAAAACCTAAACAACCTCAGAAACTCTCTTGCTTAAAAACAGCCCTCAATTGACCCCAGGATACAGCTCAGTGGTGTAGCTCTTACCCTAGCACGTGCTGGCTTTTAGCCCTGGCTTTCATCCATTTTCTTCTACTAGAAGCTGTAGGATGGCTGCACTGGGGGTACATTTTAAGAAGCTGTCGAACTGCCATCCAAAGTGGGATGTGACTTTACATCCCACCAGTCCCGTGGAAGCGTCCCAGCTCTTCCACATCCTTACCCATGCCAGGCATGGCCAGTCTTTTAACTTCAAGCCATTTGAACAGTAGTGAAGTAGTAACTCAGTATAGGTTTAGTGTGTGTTTGCCCAATGACTGCAGACACTGATCAGCTAGACTAGGTGATGTTAGTTTTCTAGCTTTCAGAGCTCATGACTGATGCCCTAGCGGGGGAATTTTGTGGAGTCTTAACAAGAGGAATGCCATCAACTGCTTTCACCAAACCTGTCTGAATCAGGTGTGGAAAGCTGCCCTACCATGACCATGTTATCCTATCCTCAGAGGAAAACAACAACAACAAAAAAACCCCCAAACCCTTGAGGTACAATAGAGGACCCCTTATAAGTCTGTTATTTAATTTGTCTGACAATTTGTACAAAAGAGGAAAAGAATGGAAAAATCCTGAGAAGAGAAATAGCCTCTCTTATATGTGAAAATGAATCAAAATATAAGAAGCATTTTATAATTATAAAATGATATGTGAATGTTTAAGTGTGTTCTCTGTCAAAGTAAATAGTTATCTAATGATAAATGGGCAAGAGATACTTTTAATTGCTATATAAATTCACAGGCAAAATTATAAATAATAGAATATTTTAATTTTAAAAAGCAATAGGAGCTTACTAACTAAGGATATAGCAAAGGAGATTTATACTCAATCAAGAAAAATTAAACTCACAAACATAAACCAAACATACATAAGCCAAATGCATCATTTATTATTTAAAACAATAAAAAACACTTCTTAGAAATATTCATTATATGTTAACGCTTAGGAGAACCAGATAAGTTCTTACCATCAAACTTGTCATACTTCAAATGGCCATGGGCATCTGGCCCAGGAGGGCTGCTTGGCACAGCACCTTCCCCTTCTCCATCACTTGCTAATTCTTGTTGAAGTTTGTTGTCTAGCCAGTCATTGACTAGCTCCTGAGCTATCAGGAGAACAAAAACATCTTTTAGTATTTCAGTGATTTACAGGCTTCCTCTATTTGCTGTTTTCATTCATTCATTCATTCATTCATTCATTCATTCATTCATTTGTTATTCATTCATTCATTCATCATTCAGTATTACTTGAACACTCATTATATGACATGTACTATTTTGGGTATTAGGAATATGCTAGAGAACAAAACTGGAAAGAGAAATGTTACCACCATGAAGCTAATAGTCTAATCAAGGGAAAAAGACAAAACAAGTAAACAAGATAAAAACAACACAGGGGAACAAGAGATGGAGACAAAGTGTTGTGGTTTTAAATTGGACGGTCAGTAGAAGACACCCGAGCAAAGGAGGGCAGTGAGCGAGCCGTATGGATATAGAAGGAAATGCTGTACCATGCAGGGGGAGAGCAAGCTCAGGCCCTGCTGCACGAGTGTCCCGAGGGCTGGAGAAGTCATTAAGAGGGCAGTGTGGCTGGAGAAATGCAGGACAGACAGACGAGATGGAAAGGTGGTTTATAGGTCAGGCTGAGTGTAGTGGTTATCAATGAGGGGGATCTTGGCCCTCATTTGAAACAGTCATTTTTGGTTTTCCCAAGGAGGGCAAGTGATAACAGTATCTAAGGCCTCGAGGCTAGGATGCTGCTAACACCCTGTTCACACGCTTCCACACAACAAAAATACTCTGGCCACAAACGTAAGAAGTCCCAAGGCTAAAACCCTTTTGTTTAGAGTCCTGACCCCATTCTAAGTACTCGGTCTACTACTCTAAGCATGAGAAGCCACAGCAGGGTTCTGAGTAAAAAGCACCTCCCCCCTTTTGAGAGGGGATCTTACATCGTAGCTCTGGCTGACCTGAATTTCACTATGTAGACCAGGCTGGCCTGGAACTCACAGAGACCCACCTGCCTCTGTCTCTGTAGTACTGGGATTAAAGGTGTATGCTACTATGCCTGACTTTTGTTTTTGTTTTTAAATTACTTATTGTTATTATCTCATAGATCTGACTAACTAGGTATTTCTATATATTAACTGAAGTCAAGAAATGTCTAGTATAGATAAATTAGAAGAAAACAAATGATAACAGTGGCCCTTTATCTGTAGTTCCATTTACCAGTTTTAGCTACCTAAGTCAACTAAGGTCCCAAAACATCACATGGAAAATTCCAGAAATACGAAGTTCTGGATTGCACTTGGTTTCAATAGTATAATAAAATCGTGTTCTGTCTTATGCCATTCCACCTGAGATACGAGTCATTCCTTTGTCCAGCACATTCACTCCAGACACACACACTATCTGCTGTTACTTTAGAGATTAGTTGTCCTCTCAGTTATCAGACTGATCGCTGTCACAATAATGTAGTGACAGTGTTCCAGGACCCTCAAATGACAGCCCGATGCTGTCTCCATGCTTCTGTCATCACCCCACTTCATCACATCACTCAGGTACTGGATCATCACACATCATCACAAGAACAGTGGTGAGTACTACTATACAGCTCCTTCCGCTGGATGGGGAGGGTAAGCAGAAGGCGGAGATCTTCACAGTATGCTCCCCACAGCACTACTTATGGTAGACTATTAATGGAGCAGAAGAGGAGAGAACAAAAACAGACCTTTGTAAAGCATGCTCTGCCCAGACAAGAGCATGGCTGGTCTGGGCTAGTAGTTTCTCTGGACAGTAGGTGTTGTAGGGATAAAATACCTCTGCCCACCAAAAAATGTCCACGGGCTAGAAAGCTTTGGGAATGGAGTAGGACAACATTTCTTTCAACTGTAGGGTTCCTGGGGGCTCTTAAAGTGTATCATGTATGGCTACTGGGTGGAAGGTAGGGGGGCAAGACTTCCAGCACAGATCTCCTTTATTTCTGGAACTACCAACCACCTGAGACTAGTAATTGTCACTTCTCTCCCAAATCCTCCAGCAGCTTCCCACTGCTTCCTTTCCCCATCATGCCCCACCCCCAAATATTACATTCTTCCTATATTTAAAGCACGGGCCCCTTATACTTCTGGGGCCCATCCTATTATGATCAGAATAAAATCTAAGTTCTTGCCCAGGCCAGTAATGCCCTATGTGATGGGTCTCCTGCTCACTCCTTCATGCTCATGTCTACTGGAAGCACCAGCTCAGAGGCTTTCCTTCAACTCCTCATATACTTCAAGCTTGTCTATACCTTAAGCTCTTGACACTACCTTGTCCTCCATCTGGGCCGCTTTGAATAGATCATTACCTGATATTACCTGATAATTTGTTAGTTTTTTTTTTTAGATGAATTTATTTATTATGTACACAGTGTATACTGTATGCCAGAAGAGGGCGCCAGATCTCATTATAGATGGTTGCAAGCCACCATGTGGTTGCTGGGAATTGAACTCAGGACCTCTAGAAGAACAGCCAGTGCTCTTAACCTCTGAGCCATCTCTCCATCCCCCCCCCCCTCCATAACTTGTTTTTAATTCTCTTCATCCCCACACTAGAGTGCTTAATACATGAAAGCACAGCTTTGCTTTCCTTGTTCATAATCAAAACTTCTAGTGCCTAATATAGTGGAGCAAGACTTTAATATGCATACATCGAATAGATGAAGAGATAAATGAAATAACTGGGGACATAAATAATCCAAACAGAAGCTGGCTTGCAGGGCACAGTACTCTGACTTCCCCGATTCCCTAGAGGGCTCCTTCCCAGTCTTGAATCTCTTGAATCCCTAGGTGGTACAGTTCTTCAGTAACTCAGTAATCAAGATGTTGAATTCCAAATGAAGGGAGTTTTAGAGCCTCTTTACAAGGAACTAAACTGGTTTATAAACTCAAGGTCTATTCATCAGTAGAATACCAGATCAAATTAATATGCCACGTCTGTGCCATAGGGACCAGTACCTTACACCACTCACCAGTCAACTATTATATCAAACTGCTTCTGCCAGGGACTGCTTCAAATTTAAGAAACAATGTAGGCTTTAAATACAGCCTTGTGGGGCTGGGGAGATGGCTCAGAGTTAAAAGGATAGATTACTCTTGCAAGAGACCCAAGTTCAATTCCCAGCACCCACACCAGGCGGCTCACAAGCACCTGTGTTTCCAGTTCCAGGGAACCTGATTGCCTTTGGCCTCCTCCAGCATCTTCATAAACTTGCAGACACCAGGATGAAGACACAGACACACAGACACAGACCAAAGACAGACAGACACACACACACACACACACACACACACACACATTGCCATTTACAGATGGCCTTACATGTAGTAATGGAGTTAACTCCAGAATAAGCGGCTTCAGAGCAGTAGAGAAGCAAAGGTTAAGAGCGAGGTAAGTGCAGCTCTCACTCCACGCTTTGCTGTGAGTGCTGAGCTATGCTCTAAGAACTGCGAACATCACACCAGCAAATGCATCCTCACACCAGCAAATGCACCCTCTCACCTTCTTCGTAGACATCATCATGATACTCTGTTTGCCCGCATGTCCCCAGGTCTACTGCATGTCGCCACAGCCTTCCAGGTAAATCTGCGTTTCTGGTAGAATATGTATTTGAAATGGCAAATTCTGAAGCTTTCTCCACTCTCTTCAAAATAACAGAAGAAAGAAAGAAAGAAAGAAAGAAAGAAAGAAAGAAAGAAAGAAAGAAAGAAAGAAAGAAAGAAAGAAAGAAAGAAAATCCATCAGAAGATAATAACCTTGTTCGTGGCTACAGAATTCCAGAAGCTGCTTTTCTAACAACTAGTACAATTATTTAATTTTCCCATTCTGGTTGGAACGCTAGGCAATTTTAGTTTTGTATGCAAAGCTGAATTAATCACAGCAGCTCATCCAGTTCTAGCCAGCATTCCCGGTGTTTGTGAGAATGTTGTTTAGGCTTAGCTAAGTGGAAAACAGGGTTGATTTGAGGTGCTGGCACACAGGCCTAACGACCTGAGCTGCATCCCCACACCCCACAAGGTGGCAGGAGAGAACTGACCTCCACACATGTGCCACTGCATGTGTATACCTACACACATACATGTACATCTGCCTACACACACACACACACACACACACACACACACACACACACACACACACACACA